AGTTCTATTTCCAGCAAATGAATAAATGAACAATAACACCGACGTGTGAACAAAAAGCTGAGTTATATCCTAAAACACATGCTGTGCCCCATATGGTCTAAAACCTGACAGGTGGACAAATCTAAGCTTGTTTTTAATAACACAAATATAAATATGAATATAATAAATAATACTGCTAATAATAATAATGTTATACAAAAGCACATTGTCATGAACAAACTGAAAAAGCCTCCCGAGATGAAGAAGGTATGAAGGCGGTGGTTTTTATATTTATGTAGGCTAGAAAATAATATGTTTTTAAATATTTTAATGCTTTATATTTATATCCTTTATGTATTCTTATTATATCCTTAATATTTTAATTTTTTTTCATATGTAAAGATATTTGCGTATTGCTATACACCCTGTCTGTATTAAGCAGTGTGTAAGCGAGGCACACAACTAACACGCTCTGCGCTGGACTGGCTTTGTTCTGGTCTATTGCATGATCTATTATAGTTTCTCAAAATAGCAACGCACTCAACATGCCTCCCTTTATAGAGCAGAACGCCTATGGGTGCACATATGAGCGCAAATGCATTTACTGTTTAAACAGCGTGGCGCAAAATGTGCGTTGTGCCAGATGTATGACATAGATATATACACTAGATATCGCATAGGGACTCTGAGCATGCGTCAATAGCGCCGCCACATTGCTACAGTGCTCCCAGGACAAATGTCATTCAGCCGCACTAGTCAAGACAGCGTTATTACGTGAAGATGCGGGACTTTAGCGCTGTCTACAGGTGTAGTAACGAGCAAACAAAGAAATCAAAGCACAAAGGCAGAATATTTCATAGGTAATATTACGTTTTTTTCTGTTTTTGAATGTTCTGAACTTTTGTGCTAATCAGGTAACGTTATTGATGATAACAGTCACTTACTGCATTCACCATACGGCAAAGCAGCTCCAACTCGCACTAAACACTCGGCTTATGCTAGTTTTGTTGAATAAAATCAGCAAACAATGCAGGAGAAATATGACAACGAGATGCTGCGCTGCCAGAAACTTGTGTTATTGTCGGCTAACGTTAGTGAAAGAGTCGTTCGGGGGATTCATTCACAAGTGAATCGCTCCCTCCGTCAGTATGAGCAGTGAAAGCAGGAGAGGAGCTGTGTTTCAGGACATGATTAGATCAAGTTTAACAGGGAGGGTGAATAGAACATTTCTGCACACACAAACACAAGCTTTTTGTCAGGAATGCCCGTGCGGTCACTGATCCATCAATGAAGAAAAGTGATGTAAAATTATAATTTTCGAAATTAGAAAAAAAAATTACATATTAACATCCAGGAAAACTCCCGATCACAGATATGTGTGTATATGTGCATATCTCTGGCTTTGCATGGCCACAGTCCTCCACTGTACCTTGGTCCCGCATTCATTTCAAAGGAGCGCTACCCTGTAGCAAGATGGCGGCTCTATTGACGCATTCCGTCCAGTAGACAACAATAGGTCAGGCGACATCTAGTGTATATATCTATGGATGTATGATAGGGCCCTAGTGGTACATGTACCATAGTTTGAGAACCACTGGTACCACAGATTGCCCGAGAGGTGTTTTAAAGATGGCTGCCAAGTGAAATGACTTGCCTTAAAGGGACTTTGGTATTACTGAAAGATAAAAGATTATAGTGTACCGGAAGTTGCTGAATGTCTGATCTCAGTAGGTTAATGTACTTCCGACTGAAGGCGAATGTTGAGTAGGGGGCGGGGCTTCTCTTTTGCACTCACCTTCATGCGGCGGTATTTGAGGCGGCCCAGGTGACCCAGACACGAGGCTTGAAGCTGCACCAGCCAACCACTCAACAACTGATCCCTCTGCTGATCTAAAGACCTGAGGACGCCACGCTTCATAAACACCTACACACACACACACACACACACACACACACACACACACATCAGAGCCAGCGTGACCTCAAAACTTCAGAGGACGAGGATAAAATACAACCTCTGTGCTACAGGAGCCCCTGGGTTATTTTTAACAACAATAGAGAGACAGACTGAAGAAAAGATAGAGAGAGGCAGAAAACAGACAGCTAGAACAACAAAGAATGATGAACAGAAAGATAAATTGTCAGGTAGAAAGAAAGAAAGAAAGAAAGAAAGAAAGAAAGAAAGAAAGAATAACAGATAAT